GGCTTCAATTCTTCGATCGAGAGGGACAAGCAATGAATCTAGATTCGAAATTCGACGATCGAAGATTTCCTGAGTGCCTGGAGCCCTCCAAGCATCCCGGAAGCGACCAACAATCGATTAGTTCGGAGCTACTGCGACTTCTTCGCCGTGTCATGGGAACGATCCTGACTTCCTCAAAGGATGGACTCAACCACCGGAAGAGGCGGAAGAGGAGAAAAGGAGGAGGAAAGGATGGGTAGGAACAAACCTCGGAGGTGGCAGATGAAAAGCCTTACAGCATTGTTATCCCTATCTCCCCCATGAGGAGCGGTGCTGAAGCAAGCGATAATTGGTTGTTTTGCCGGGAAAGCGTCGGGAACAAGGCGCATGGCGCGAAGCACTAATGCAGTCTTGTATACAGATGTATATGTGACTAGCACTACAAACGCAAAACCTAGATATGTATATATATAATGTATGCGTGTATGTGTATACTTATATATGTGTATGGGTGCGTCTGCTCGCTAGCCAGCGTGGACCCCAAACAATGTGTTCCAGCATCGTACGTGCTGCAATAAATGAGGTGCAAGCTACGTGGTGCCATCTATGTGGTGCAATTCACCCTGCAGAACCTGGAGTTGCCAACTCCCCTGCTCGCGCATTCATCCCACCCACCCACCCGCAACTGGGCTTGCAAAACACGTGCGGCGGCGATTGCGATGAATGCTTGGCGCTGGCTGGCGCATCGCTGGCCTCAAACGGACAGCGCCCGCGGCGATACCGACAGCGAGTCCTCTTCAACATGGATGGGGCTCACTGTCGGTCTTCGTCCCAACTCTTTCCGTGACAATTTATTTGTTTCCCCACGCAATTTGGGGAGGGGGGAAAACAGAAAAAACGATGCGGACAAAACCAAAGACCTCGCGTCCATTCAGATGGTGCCGAGCTTCGGGCGGATGGTAGTGGGGGTGACCTGAATGGGGGGTGAAAAAGAGGTCCCCACAGGGGTCCATTAGGGCCCCTTTTGGGCCCCTGCTGGCGTCACAGGGCCCTTTCTTCACCCCCCAGTGAAGCCACCCCCCATTACCACCCACCCGAGGGGAGCCAGGTCGTAGGAAAGCACGACGTGGCATGTCTGCGCGCATGCTGCGCCCCATTCGCTCGGCAGCGGCCCTGCTGCAGCTCGACCGCAGCTTGGAACCCAGGCGCCGTAGACCAAAAATGCACGCCCACCCGAGAGCTGACGCGGGAGGAGGAGAAGGAGGAGGAGGAGGTGGAGGAGGAGCAGGACGAGGAGGAGGGGGAGCAGGAGGAGGAGGAGGAGGAGGAGGAGGAGGAGGGGGAGGAGGAGGAAGGAGGAGGGAGGAGGAGGAGGAGGAGGAGGAGGAAGGAGAAGGTGGAGGACTGTGCTGGATCTGTCCTCCTTGGCGACCTCGGCCTTGGCCGGCCTGCCATCGGCGGGCCTCTCCCCGACGGACATGGCCCCCGACGGGCACCCTGGCCGCCGCAGGGCCCCGCCGAGAACGCGCGCCGGCTGCGGCCAGGCCCAGCCCGCGCGAGCGCCAGGCGGCGCGAGCGTGGGCGTCGGCGTCGGCGCCGTCGCCATGGCCGTGGCCGTCGATGCTGCCATCGCCGTCGGAGGACGGGGACGGGAAGGGGGAGGGGCAAGGGAGATGCTGCCATCGCGGTCGCCGTGGCCATGGCCGTCGGTGCTGCCAGCGCCGTCGGAGGACGGGGATGAGAAAGGGGGCACGGGGTGTCTAGAGAGAGGGGAGGTGGTGTAGGGTACAGGGAGAGGAGCAGAGGGAGAGAGGAAGAGGGAGAGAGGGACAGAGACAGAGACAAAGACAGAGACAAAGACAGAGACAGACACAGACACAGAGAGAAGGAGAGAAAGGGGCAGGCCACAGGTATAGATATGTATATAGATACACTCATATACCATAACCACACGCGCTACGCGCGCATTCAGGTTCTAGCCGGCCCCGACGACGCTATTAGGTGGCACGCGTCCGACACCCGTGTCGTCTTACTAAACGCCCTGACACTACATCACCATTTCGCCCGAACTCTAACCCCCAAGCCCGAACACCCGAAGTGTAACGCCCCAGCGCCCGAACGCTATCAACCTGATCCTAACTAACTCCCACACCCCTACACTCGAACCTTGGCACCCTCCTGATCCTAACAGCCTAGCCCGAATACCCAACCCAGAAATCCGAACCCCGGCACCCTTACCGTAACACCGTAGCCCTACACCCAAACACCTTCGCGATAACACCCTAACCCTCATGCCCTGACCCTAACATCCGCACTCTAACACCCTCACCGCGTGCCAGACTTCTGATTGGTTTGGTCTTCGGGCCTTCGTCCGGACCCGCCGACCCATGGCACCCAAGACGGCCCTGAGAGGACCTGCCGTGGGACCCAAGACGGCCTCAGAAAGAGCGTCGGCGGCCCAAAACGGCGCGAAGACGGCCCCACGACGGCCCCGAGACACCCACCATACGGCCAAGAGGGCCCCAAGACAGCCCAAGATGGCCACTAGGAACCCCCAAGACTGCCTCACAGGAGGCCAAGACAGCCCAAAGACGCCCCAAACGAGCTCCAGCATCACCATCGTCGACATCATCGTCATCATCATCATCATCATCATCATCATCATCATCATCATCATCATCATCATCATCATCGTCATCGTCATCGTCATCGTCATCATCGTCATCGTCATCATCATCAGCAGCAGCAGCAGCAGCATCATCGCCATCATCATCATCATCATCATCATCAGCAGCAGCATCATCATCATCAGCATCATCATCATCATCACCACCACCATCATCATCATCATCATCATCATCATCATCATCGTCATCGTCATCGTCATCTTCACCACCATCGTGAGCATCATCAACATCAGCATCATCATCACCAACATCGGCATCAGCATCATCAACAATATCAGCCAGCGCTGACTCCAAATCGATAGGAGGACAGGAGGAGGACGAAAGGAGGATGGGAGGAGGACGAAGGGAGGACGGGAGCAGGACGGGAGGAGAACGGGAGGTGCAAAATCAAGCAAGCGGAAGCAAGCAAGCGCAAGCGAGCAATAACAAGCAAGCAAGAGCCAGCGATAAACTGCAAGCCAGCAAGGGCAAGCAAGAGCAAGCAAGCGAGAGCAAGCACGCAAGAGCAAGCAAGCAAGTGCAATTCAAAAAGGGGATGAGCATTGGAAAAAAGGGGGGTGTCATTGGAAGAAGGGGGGGTGCTAAAGACCGATTACTTATGATGAGCTAGGACTCCTATAGGGCAAGCCTATTTGGAGAATTATCAGCATCATCAGCATTATCGTCATAATCGGCATCATCGTCGTCATCGTCATCGTCATCATCATAAGGATTATCAGCATCATCTTCATCATAATCATCATCAACATCATGATCCGCATCATCATCATCATCATCATCATCATCATCATCATCATCATCATCACCAACATCATCACCATTATCAGCATCAGCATCATCAGCATCAGCATCATCACCACGACCCTCAGCATCATCATCATAATCATCAACATCATCAGCAGCAGCATCATCAGCAGCAGAAGTAACACCATCATCAGCATCATCATCATCATCATCACCACCATCGTGAGCATCATCATCGTCAGCAGCAGCATCATCGTCATCATCACCATCATCAGCATCGCATCAGTAGCAGAAGTAACACAATCGTCAGCATCACCATCACCATCATCATCATCAGCAGCAGCATCATCATCATCACCATCCTCATCATCATCATCATCATCATCATCATCATCATCATCATCATCATCATCATCATCATCATCATCATCATTATCATCATCATCATCATCATCATCATCATCATCATCATCATCATCAAAGCCTTAAGGTGCTCGGTGGAATGTCGAGGGAGGCATCTCGGGGGCCTTTGGGGGGCCGTTGTTTGGCCTTTGGGGGGCCGTTTGGGGGCCTTTTGGGGCGTCGTTGGGGAGTTTGGGGGGCCTCTTGGGGGCCACTTGGCCTCGTGGGGGCCTCTCCGGACCCTCGTGGGGCCTCCTGGGTGCCTCTCATGGCGGAAGACTCAAATTTTCGGCCCGTGTTCCCCCTCTTGAGCCCTTTTTGGGGACCGTCTTTGGGCCCTCTGGGGCCGTGCTGGGCGCCCCTGGAGCCGTCTTGGGGCCATGCTGGGCCCTCCCGTTTTCGATTGTCTGGAACTCGAAATGGACAACCCCAAAAAAAACGTTGCACAAAACCCCTGGAAACAAATTGCACGCGCGCCAAGAATCATAGAATCACGGATGTGGGACACTGGAAGATGGAGGTGGCGCCAACCTGTGGTAGCTCCGGAGACGCGCGCGACGACACGCTGAACTATGGCGTGAAGAATCTTCCGGGACATGGTGTTATTGGGCGTCTCTGGGGCTTGTTGGGGGTCTTGTGTGGGCCCGTCTGGGGTTGTTTGGGGCTGTCTTCGGGCAAGTTTAAGCTGTCTTGGAGCCTTTATACCCCATCGAAGGGATTCGAAGGGGCCAGGGGCACGACCCGAGCGAGGTGGGCAAGGTCGGTCGGTCGGGATAAGCAAGCGGGGGAGCCACGGGGCGGACGGGGCGGGACAAGGGGGTGGCCGGGGAAAGGACGGGGCGGGAACGGTTCGGAGGGGGCCACGGGGCGGGCGGGGGGAAGCACGATCGGTCGGTCGGTCGGAATAAGCAGACGGGGGCCACGGGGCGGAGGGGAGGGGCACGGTCGGTCGGTCGGTCGGAATAAACAGACCGGGGCCGCAGGGCGGTGGGGCGCGGGGGGGGGCAGGGGGCGGGAAAGTACGGTCGGGCAGGGGTGGGCACCAACGAGGCGCAAGCGGTTGCGCCGCGATTCCGGGCTAGCACGTCGCCGCGTGGCAACTTCGCAGAAAAAGCCGGCCCACGAACTCTTGGGCCCTCTCCTTGGCAAGGCGTCGTTGGCCAACCTCCCGCAAGAGTTCTGGCCCAGGCGCGCGCGAGGGTTGGCAACGGCGTCTCGGGCCGTGCGCCCGTAGCTCCGACTTGCTTGACGCGGCGAGCGCGGAAGTCGCAAAGCGGCAGAACAAGGGGTCCAGCGAGGAAGCGCGCGTCTTCCTGCATTCGGACATCTGCAAGTGGGTACCCGAGCGGGCCCGCTCGGGCCCTCGCGACGCCGAGGAGGAGGCCGACGCGTCCAGCAGCGCCGGCAAAGACATTCGTGACCTGGCCAAGTCTCGTTCCCCGCGCGCGACGCCGGCCCTGCCTCGCCCGGGCGCGCGCGCCCCCCTCGCAGGAAGTTGCGGCGGTCCAGAAGGGGCCCGTGGAGAAGGCCTTCTTAACCCTATGCCAGTGGCAGCTGGCGTGGGACCAGTGCCCCCAGCCCCGCCGCGGGCAGACCGCGCGCTATCGCGACTGCGCCGCGCGCGGCAGGTTCGCGCTGGCGCTCGTCGCCACGGGGCAGCTCACGCTGGCGAAGACGGTCGCGCATCGCAGCATCTGCTTGAAGATTGCTGTTCAGGCCGCGCGCACGCGTTTCTCTCTGCACTCTGCTCGCCGCGCGTTCCGCGCAGGCCGCGACCTCGAAGCGCCGCGTGCACCCCGGCATCGTGCACCACGAGGAGGCACGCAAGACGCCCCCCCGCGTTCGCGCCAGAGCGGCGCCCTGCGTTCGTGCCGGCGCGGCGCAGCTGTGGGCGGAGCAGCTGCGCTCGGGCGACCCAGAGTTCAATATGGGGAAAGCGATCCTGCGGGTCGATCCGCGCGCGCCCTACAGCTGGCACGGAACGCTTCAGACAAGGAAGAGGGTGCCGCCTAAGCGACGGCGAGCGTCGCGCCGCGCGGCTTCGCCCCCCTCTTCGCCGCATCCACGCGCGCAGCCGCGAGCGGCCCGCGCCCCCGAGAAGGAGCGCGGGGCGGGCGGCGCTGGCCAACCGTGGCGCGCCGCGCAGAGCGCGAGCAGCGGCTCCTGGGACGCTTGGCAGAGGGGCCAAGAGCGCGAGCGCTCGCGGGGCGGCGATTGGCAGAAAAAGGACGCGAGGAAGCCGCGGACGCCGCCGCGCCCGGTGCAGCGCTGAGCGCCGCCCTGGCAAAGCGCGCGCGAGGCGCCGAAGGGGTGAACCCTTCAGCCGTCAGCACGGCTGACGCGCAAAGCCTGTATCCGCCAGCGCTGGGCACGGGCCACGACCCGGGCGCGCACTGACGTCTTCCGCTTCGCCGACAAGAGGGCTCCGCGCGCGCAGCGCAGGCTTCCACTCGTGCCAAGGCATTCCGCGGGCGCCCACGCCGCGCCGCGTGCGCAAGGCCTGGCAGTGGCCAGCCAGGGCGGGGCGTGCAGGGGAGTTCTGCGGGGCACTGCGTGATCCGAGAGCGATGTCGCAACGCTTTGCCGCTTTTTCTACAACCGCGGTTTGCAATCGCGCGCGATGCCGTCCGTGCCGGTGCCGCCCTGGCCGCCGCCCGCATCTGGCGCGCGGAAGCCGGCGGCACCTGGGGCTGCAAGCGTCGACGTCAAATCTCGCAACGCGCGCTTTCCGGGCACTCGGTCGCGGGCGCGCCGGAGCGCGTGTCAGGCGATGCCGGCGCCGTCAGCGCCACCGGGGTCGCAGTTCGGGAGTGGTTGGTCTCGGCGTTGCAGCGACAGCGCGCGGCGCGAAATCTGCGTCGCTGCCCGCGACAGTAACGGCGGCGACGCGGTGAAACTCACCTTTCTGGCAAGGGCGCTGGACGGCGACCCCGCGCTCTGGGGCAAGTGGCGCCCCCCCGAGGCCTCGGCTTTGCCGCCCACGGCCGCAGCAGCAACGCGGTGGGCTCCGCAGACCGCCCCAACCGACGTGGAAGCATTCCGCGAGAGCGAATTCGCGGCGCTTCGCGAAAAGGATCGGGCTCTCCGGGCCAGTGGCGCCGTGGTAGAATGGTTCCGGGGGGGGCCCCACCACGCGGCGCGTCGCACAGCACGTGAATGGGACTCTCTGCGCAGAAATCGCGGAGCGCATTGCCTTCTGCGACCCAGGCTGCGTGGAGTTCTTCAGGACGGGGGTGCCCCTCGTGGGCGAGCTCCCGCGGTCGGGCCACGGCAGCCCAGAAGTGTTCCCACCCCGTCTGGGCATCGTGAGGCTGCTGGGCAACGCCGAGTCGGCAAATCGCGACATTTCCTCTGCTCTACGCGACGGCTGGCACGGCAACGCCATCCTCCGCAAGACAAGGGACGAGCCCGAGCTGGGGCGCATCAGCTGCCCGGTGCCGCTCCGCGACGCGCGTTTGGAAGGGGCCGTCATCGCTCCGAGGTTTGCGGTTGAGCAGCTGCGCGAAGACGAATCCTCGAAACTCCAGTTGGTCGACGATATGACCAAGGCAAGGATTAACGAGGCGACGCGTCCTCAGGATCGGCTCCACCACGATGCCGTGGACTCGCTCCTCGAGGCAGCTCGAACCTTACAGGAAGTTACGGGGCGGGCACCCGCCCTCTGCAGGGCAGAAATCGACGCTGCCTTTCGTCGCGTGCCCATTCGCGCTGCGCACCGCCGATTCGCCTGGATCGATTTTAGCGCCGCCGGGCAGGTCTGGGCGGCGCAGCACGCGGCAGCGCCCTTCGGGACCACGTCATCGGTGCACAGCTGGGCGCGACTGGGCGCCATCATCGCGCAAGCGGCGCGCGTGCTCTTGCAGATCGCCGCGCTTCTTTACGTGAATGAATATTTCGGGCCAGATCACCCCGAAATGGTGGAGCAGGCAGCAGCGCAGCTGGCGGAGCTAATTCAGCTGATGCTCGGCCCGGGCGCGGTGGCGCCAGGCAAGCTCGCCCCGGGGTCTCCGCGGTCATCCTCGGCCTCGAAATCATGGCAGGGCGGCCGGAGCGCGACGCGTCAACCAGCCGGCTGCGCGCATCGCTAGGTGCTGCCACGCGCGTTCTGCGCGCGTCCGGCACCCGCGAAGACCGCCAAGTGGCAGCGAGTCATCGGCAAGGCGCCCGCCACGCGCTCCCCCGCGCCAGGCGGACCGCGCGCCCCCCAAGGAGTTTCGACACTTTGCGCTCGCTGCGCAGGCGCATCGTCCAAGTTGGCCCGGGGCTTGGCCTGGGCAGCGTCGCATCTCTTCTGCCGCCTGGGGCGCCCCCTGCTCAGGCGCGGCGCTGCACCCGCGTGCCCGGGGGGAGCGGGGCGCCGCGCCCCGTGCTCGCAGGCCGTTGCACGCGCAATCGCATCGCGGGGTATCGAAGGCACATGTGCCGTTGGTGTTAGCCCTGCAGCAGCGGTGCGAGGTCTTGGCCATGGACCTGTGCCAATCGCGGTCATGGGCCGACAAGGCGCGCCCCCGCGCAACCCTCTTCGCGGACGCGTCGGGTCAACCACCGTGCGTGTTCGCAGTGCTCGTCACCGCTTCGGGCATCCGGTTCACTTCTATGCTCGCCCCAGCGTCATTGGTGGCGGCGTTCGAGCGTCGCTGGGTCAACCAGATTCAGGGGCTGGAGCTTCTGTCCATCGCGCTGGGCATCTGCCCCTTGCAGGCGCTGCATTCGCGCGCGTTTGTACACGAAGGCGGGCAGTGCCAGCCCCCTGTCTTCGTTCGCTCAGGGCACTTGTAGGGTTGCGACTTGCACATTTACAGCGACAATACCGGCCCGGAGGCCTGCCTACGGAAGGGCGCCGCGAAATCCTCCGACCACTCGTGCATCGTCCACGCCATGTGGAGGCGCGCAGTAGAGCTCGACCTAAACCTCGCCGTGTTTCGCGTGCCCACGGCTGAGAATCTCGCCGATCTGCCTCCTCGCTTGAGCTGTCTGAAGAAAGTCATCATAATCTCTGAAAAAAAAACCAGAGTACGAATAGTTTTTCGCATCCAGCTCTGGTAGCAGACCGAGTTCGGGCATCTAGATGCTCCAGACTAGCCCTTCTGGTGATGTCCTTTTCGATTGCTGTGCCAAACAGCTAGCTCTGTAGCTCATATGCAGCTCGAGTTACATCAAGAAACTCACCATCATCTCTTTTATATATAGTTTTTGTTTGTTTTATATATAAAATATATATATTATATATATATATATATATATATATATATATATATATATATATATATATATATTTAAAAAAAAAAAAAAAAAAAAAAAAAAAAAAAAAAAAAAAAAAAAAAAAAAAAAAAAAAAAAAAAAAATCGGACCCAGCTCTGGTAGCAGACCGAGTTCGGGCATCTAGACTCGAGACTATCGCTTATGATGATTTTCTTCCGATTGCTGTGCCGAACAGCTCTCTAGCTCATCTGCAGCTCGAGCTACATCAAGAAACTCACCATCCTCTCCAAAAAAAAGCAGCAGCGTACGAATAGTTTTCCGGACCCAGCTCTGGTAGCAGACCGAGTCTAGGCATCTAGATACTTGAGACTAGCGCCTGATGGTTCTAGATGGATTAGGTGTACCTGCCAGTTCTGTAGCTCTTCTACAGCTCGACTTAAGTTCAGAAAACTGACGGCACATGCCAAGATGACACACAGCCGATCCCGCCGACATGCTTTTTGATAATAATAAATACCCGATAGACCTGAGACTGGGCGCGGGCGGTAAGCCGTCAACCAGGTTACCGCACGAACCCTCGTAGAGCTCTGAACACGCAAAAGAGCACCCAGAAAACGAGAAAATATAATTTCGAAATTTCAGCTAGAAGACTCGTATAATGTATTGTTTGAAATAAGAGATCGGTCCCCGCAAGTGATTTGATCGGAATACTGCACCTACAGCCCTGAGACTTGACCATGAAACGCGCCATGCTCGACTGCAGGGAACAAAAACCTAGACTCTCAAACCGAATTTTCAAATCTCAGAACCTTCAAAAAACAAACCCCAGGTCACCACATTTTCCGTTCTGGCCGGGTCGTCCCGCGCCCGACGTCCTCCTGGCTCATCTTCTCTAGAGCTCTGAGAGGTACAACGGCCACGGGCGCCACCACAGCCACCAGGCCACGGCCATGGCCACGGCACCAGGGCCACCAGACCACGGCCACCCACGGTCACGGGAACAGCCACGGTCACGGCCACGACATGGCCACGGCCACGGCCACGGCCACGGTCACGGCTCCGGCCACGGCCACGGCCATGGCCACAACCACGACCACGGCCACGGTCACGGCGACGACCACGACAACCACGGCCACGACGACGACCACGGCGACTGGCCACGGCCACAACGACCATGACCACCACGTCCACAACCACCAAAGCCATGGCCATCACGACCACCACAGCCATGGTTACCACGGCCACGGTCACCACGGGCACGGCCACGGTGGCCACCGCCACCACGGCCACCACGGCTGCAGGGCCACCACAGCCACGGTCACCACGGCCATAACGGCCACCGCCATCATGGCCACGGACTCCGTGGCCACGACCACAGGCCACGTCCCGCGGCTGGCATTGTCTCGAAAGATACGCCTCGACGACCGACGGCTTACGGAAGTGTTCCATCGAAATACTGAACCTACAGCCCTGAGAACTGCACCATCAAACGCGCCCTGCTCGACTGCAGGGAACAAAATCTAGATTCTCAAAACGAATTTTCAAATCTCTCAGAATCTTCAAAAAAAACAAGCCCCAGGTCACCACATTGTCCGTTCTGGCCGGGTCGGCCAAATAGATTTACCCCGCGCCTGAATGCCGCTTAGATCATCTCGTTAAAGAGTTCTACGAGGTTGTCGACCCAGAATGAGATCGAATATGAGAAAAAAATTAAAAGCTCTAACCAATGGTCAAATTTCGGGAAAA